TACTTCCCTATTTCTGTAGCAAATGCCTCTCCAGACACATCCTATATCACATTTGTCTTTTTCATGGCTGTCTCCCACTGGCACATTGAGCCTACCTAGAACTCCTCGCTGCTTCTCCTCCTCTGTCATTTCCAGATGATTGAGCACCTGCGAAGCTTGGTAAAGCAGAAGGGTCAGCTGCATAGAGGACTGCTCCTACTGCATCTCTTTATTTAAGACTGCTCAGAGAAAGAAGGAGGCATAAGTGAGACTGTAACAGCTGTCACAGCAGTTGTTACAGCCAGCAAAGTCCTGTGAATGCTTCCCATTCCCATTCACTGAGCAACCCCTGAGAGCAAGACCAAGCCACGTGCAAGAGCATCTTTGGAGCACTGAACACCAGCTTCAGGAAGGCTCTCAGCGGGGGAGGAAAAAGTGAGAAAATATCATTGGAGTCACATACAACCTGCAAGAAACCCAAAAACTGATATGACATAGAGAATAGAAAAGCTATTCTAATTATTCCTAAAGCTTGGATGAAAAAAGCAAATTTGCAATGGAGGTGGGAATTTTTTTATTCAGGCAAAGACATGTGCATAGTTAAATGGGAGGATGACGTTAACATTTCTTTAGAAAAAATATTTTCATTGAAATATTAACATTGCTGCTCATACGAGGTTATAAAATGAGCACTTTTTTTTTTTTTTTTTTTTTTTTTTTTTTTTTAATAATATTGCTTATGTGCTGGAGATTGGAAAGCCTGGTAACTATCCTCATTCTTTCAGTTGCTATTTTTTTGTTAGGTGGCCAGACACACCATCATTAATACCACAAGAGGATTCATGATTATTTATTCTAAAATGGGTGCAAATCGGACTTCATACCTAATACCTTAAAGCCATGCTGAAACACAAGATAGTCTATTATCTTTGTATCATATATGTTTTCTTCCCACTTTAGCAGAAGACTGACAGTTTATAACACAGCAGTGTGACTGCCTCATTTGCACATTTACAGTGCTTGATAAAGAGTTGAAATGCTTGATTCCCCAGAGGTTCTCCTTGTTCTTTTCCCAACAGAAAATGCCTCCCTATATTTCAATACAGCTGTGACAAATTTTTCAAAATAATGGATAGCTAGCCTTTAGATAATGCCTTTCATGAAGAAGAACATAAAAACATTTTACCCTGGGCTCATGCAAATCATTTCACTAGGTGTCAGGCAACACAGAGCACAGGCTGGAATCAGAGTTAACTATTATTCCACATTCCAACTCTTGCCCATGGTCCTGGACCAGAGTTGTCCTTAATTATCATTACCATTTTTCATCAAACATATCCTAAATTACAGTAAAAAAAATCAAAACAGAATTGCTGAAACCCCTTGAAGATGAACCTCTAAACCATACTGGACAGATGGCAGATTAAAACATGCAGCTAAAATTCCATATTGCTTTTGCTCAGGAAATGAGGTAACACCTTTGACCAGCAAATCAAACTCAATGTTTTCCCTAAATGTTAACAGCATTCTCTAAACCCTAACTTTTAATAGCAGCTGTATCACCTATTCTCATTTATGGTGTTACTGTAAATTGTGCTACAGCATATTTGTTATAAAATTCTTCAAGTATAAGGACAATAACGGAAGAAAATTACTTCTTCAAGCACCAGCATTGGGGTATTTTTTAAAGACAGATTTGATTGAAAGGTAAAGATTAGCTTAAAATTCCTCCACCCCTTCTTTTATTTGAATATGAAAAGAAAGTGTAATACAGATGCTTACCTTGATACGACTTTAAAAGACAGTTTGGGTCAATATAATTACTGTATAACAGCAGACTTGTTTTTTAAATCCTCAAATATTTGTACTTACTGATTTTACCCTTCAGATGTATTTTAGCATTCTGGGGTAATCAGCTAAATCCAAACTACAGATGCACAAGTAGCCACTACACAGTCCTTCCCCTAAATTTGTACACTGTGCATATGACAGGTTAATCTCTCCCAAAACAAGGAAAGATTTATTTCTGCAATGTTTTAGAACATAACCACGTGAGTCAAAGTGACCCCACAGAAGAGCTTCTTTGCACTCCATGGCAGGTTTATGGACATGTTGTAAATGTCAGACTACACCATTTTTAATAATAAAAAAAGACACTATAATACTGTTTCCTTGTAACTGGGACAGAAAATAATTTGGTAAGAGTAAGAACATTTATTGGTTTTGACATAAAAATTTCTTCCTGTGCAGTGGAAACGCTGTAGTCCAAATACTGGAAGAAACGTGAAATCTCAAGGGCTATGTTCAGTAACTCCTGGTTCAAAAGCAGACGTGGCAGGTGCATTATTTAAGAGCTTGTCAGAGATGATCTTCTACAGCACACCGCTCCAGGATTCATCTCTTGCTATGTTCTGGGAAGGGGATTCTCATGTAAATATATGGCAGAAATGGCTGGCTGCACATCAACCCCAAACTGCTCAACCCTCTTCAACACCACTGTGGTCACTGCAAAACATGAGTATCAGAAAAGCTCTCCAGTACTGAAGGCAAATACCCTCCTACATACCATGTGAGAGCAGCTCTTTGGATGAGCTATTCAGAGTGTATTTGCTCTGAAAAATTCGAAGTGGCATTCTTCTCAGTAGCCATACTTGATGTTCTAAAGTGTTCTTGTATCACTGTATGCAGTGTTAATTTGGTGCCACAAAGATGTAGTATATTCAATGTAAATGAGAAACAGTGCAGACCAAGTTCTGCTTTAAATTTCTTGACTCCTGCACATACAGAAACCGTATTGTATTTTATTTTTTCTATTTTATATTTTAATTTAATTTTCTTTCACAATACAAATCCTTGAGAAGCTAGTCACATCAGGATTTCAGTTGGAATGATCAGAAATAAATAGAGTAGTAACAGAAGAAGCATTTATTTGTGCCAAGGACCTAGCATGCTTTTATAGAATATTGTCCAGGCATATGTAGACCTGCATAGATACCTTCCTGTTTCTACCACACACCTATCAACATTTCAGGAAGAAGGAATTTTATATGTGCTTCAGGTGCCAGAATTCAGTGCAATACACAAAATCCAACTTGAACTATTCCAGTACAGACTTAAAATCCCTCATACATGAAAATCATGACTGGTAAAGTAAATTTTATTTTCTTTTTATGTAATGGAGTAGCTTAAGAAATAAGAGAGAGAAATCACTTTTGGCTAGAAACAGAGAAATATGATTTAAAATTTCTTATATTTAGAAAACACTGATTTGATAGGAAGTGTTCCCTTTAAGTGTACCTATACTGGCCAGTCAGAAAAGATTTAAAAATCAAAAAGAAATGTCTTTCTTAGTCAGTCACTGTACTAAATAAGATTTGAGAAGAGGAGAATACAGAAAAAGAGATGGTTGTACCATCTTTGGAGTGTGTTTGCCACAAGTTTGTGGCACGAAACACATCTCTATCAAAACACTACACACAAAATTGCTGTTGCAAACAAAACTAATGAATGAAAAAGGAAGGTAATCCTCTGTATGCATAACAGAAAAACAGAAAGTAGCTGTGTACCATCTCTCACTTGCACTCAGCCCTGAAGGGAAAAAATCATGATGACTACACATTTAACTGCAGTAATCCTGGATTAAAGTATCTGATTCCTACACTGTTTACAAGCCATCAATACAAACATTAATAAGCAGATATATGGCAGGCTGCTTCAGAAGTATATTACTTTGCTGTCAAAACTAGCACTGTTACAAATTCAGGTGTATACAATGTTTTATTCTTTTTAAAGGAATGCTTTATCTTAGATGTTTTAAGTAATCTCATGCCTGAACTACTACATAAAAATACGACATCCTCTCCAAACGTTAAGCAGGTGGCTTCTCTCTTTTTAGTAAACGCTGTACACCCTAGCCTTTTATATTTTTGAATGGCTTTGAAAAGACAAGGTGTCTCCAATATGTTTATAACCAGTAAATTCTATTTCTTCAGACAAGAGTAAATATTAACAGAAGGTATCTGTACTATGTTTACTTTTATGGAGCATTATTGTATTAAGTAGCACAGAATCTTAGTATTAAGTGAAACCTTACATTATTCTGGGGGGAAATCTGGAAAACTCTTCACTGTTAACTCTACGGAACTGACAGCTCTCACGGAAACTTCCCTCTACACTCTCCCCCATCAACAAGTATTACCTAATCACTCAGAGTACAAGCAAATTACTTCATCAACTTACGTTTTGTTTTGACATTTCAGGAAAACCCAAAATATTTCTAAGCTTGGGGTCATGTACCAGCAATCACCACAGGCTGGCATATCATGATAGGCTTACATACTTGGGGATTTCAACCATGCACAACATCATTTCAGAAATGGATTATAGAACAACAAAATTCAAATTTTTCTTTGGATTATTTTCTATTTCCTTTTTTTCCTGTTACAGACAGCATAACTCCTCCTTCTATCACCCCTCCCAGCAGTGCATTGATTAATTTGCACTAGATCACTTTAACTTGTGTTCATTAACTTCATGGAAGCTGGGCTAAATCCTTGATCTAAACCCAAACATCAGTGAGAGAAGTCTGCCTGAGAGCACAAACAGACTTTAGGTCTGGATGAGAAAACCCTGGTGTGATGCTGCAGTGCAGCACCCCTTCCAAATCATGCTGAGCTCCACATACTCACTGGGCATGTGAGTAGTAACGGTCCTCAATTTCACTCTCTCCCCAAGGTATGGGATAAATATGTCAGACAGGAAACCACAAAACTGGGAAGAGGCAAACTCTTAGGTGACAGGCGAAGTCTGATGCCTCCAAGTGTTCAGAATCAGTGCAGCTAGGTAACGTGAGAAACTGTAAATTCATAGGTTTCACTATCTCAGCTGAAACTCTACATTGTGTTTCAGTGGCAAAACAAGTATCTGTAGTGGTATGTTCTGTGACTGAACGGCTGCACGTGTGACTGAGATTATCACAAGCACGAGAATGAGGGAGGAGAACAAAAAAAGAAAAATGCATCTTAGAAGTTACTTATGTTTAATGCTTAAAAGTCTGAATGCACAAACAATAATCTACCATTATAGAAGTACTGGTGGTCAATACAATGCATTAGAACTATGTACAATGACACAGTTTAGTATCAAAATCTTTCTACAATGTAGAGTATTACGAAACTGTTAATGACATCAAACACTAAGCACTTAAGACACCATTTTTTGCTACCACATTTGGAACTTCAATAAACAGTCCATTTTAACTTGCAGCATCAATCCATTTCTAGTATGAAATTAAGTAATTTTCTACTTATACAATAAGATTTATCTACACGGGTCTCTTGATTTTGATCCATAGCAGCAAAGGCACTGTACATCAGCAGATCCACAGACTTAAAGATTTTTTTTTAAAGCATTCAAAAAAGAAAAAAAAGTCACAGATCATAGTTTAACAGCAACAACAACAACATAAAAAGGTAACACGTTGTCTCTGGCACAATGGCTCAGTCTGCGTCCGTCTTAGGGACATCCAATCAAGACTTGGATTGAACTGCTGGCGAACAAAGCAAGTCCTTATCCCAATGAGAATCCATTCCTTTTTTTATGTCGGAATGAGTACTCTTCTAAATCCTACCTCAGAGGTCATTGCTTTTGTAGTTTGTATATTGGTAGGCATCCATTCTTATTTCAGTGCAGTTTCCAAAGAACATATCAAATATTTTTCATAATCTCTTGTAATTGAAAAATTGCCCAAAGACACATATCCCCATTTTCAAGGAAACATTGCAAAAGTTTCCAGAAGTAACAAAGGTATTCTTTGAGGCAACTTATTGTACTCTCTGCAATATAACAAAGAGAGGTGTTTATATTAAAAAACCTAGCTTGACACCAAAATGCTTTATGTTTATCAACACAAAAGCATTGAGAACAAATCTGTACACAAGATGCTATATTAACATTGCAAATATATAAATTAGCACATTCTTACTTAAAGTGAATTTAATTTAGATGTGAACTGGATTTGCCATTCATCACAGGCATGTAGATCACTGGCTACAGTTTGCAATTTCCTAAGTTTCCAAGACTGTCTAAAATAGTTAAGATACAGCATCTTCCCACCAAATAATTATATTGTAATAACACTTAGAGGTCTCATCCAAGAACAGGACTAAAAAATATAACAAAGTTTATTTTTTTAAATAGAAACTACAAGTCTATTTAGTGTAATTTTAACTATCTCCTGAACATCCTTCTCCAAGATCCCCAATTTATCCACCTGCAAAAACACAAGTATATGATGCATCTTTCAAACTAAAGCTGGGCTGGACAGCTTTATTTAGACAGTTCAATGTTAGGAAGCCTTTTTTAAACAAAATAAATACATTACAGCTATAATACATAATTAAAGAGTCAAGGTCACCGTTATGTATGCTTATTCCATCTTCTTCCAAGTAGATATCTGACAATTTGGTATCACAAGTTCTTAATGAACATTCACAAATTAATAGCAAGTTAAGAAGGTAAAAATAAATTCTACAACTGTGATGAGCATTTAAGTTTTCAGTTTAGAAAGGAAAAAAAAAAAAAAGGAATATACAGCAAAGTGCTAGGAGAAGGAGTTCTGTCTGCATTCAGATTTGTCTCTAATAAATAACTTCATAGACTGTAGCTTTCTTGTCCCCAGAGCCAGTGACAATGTATTTGTCATCCACAGAAATATCACAGCTAAGCACAGATGAGGATTCTTTGGACTACAAGAAAAAAGAAAAGGAAAAAGACAATTATGTCTTTCCAATTCTTCAATCCTGAAAGGCTTGAAGATTAATTGGAAGAATTTATAGATAGGGAATACATGAAAAGCTCATTAAAGTATCACTACCATAGAGGCAAAATTTTTTTAAATACTTTTGTTCCACAGAAAGATCTATTATAAAATAAAGCACTGGTAGAAAGGGAAGTGAATATTATGGACCTACAGGTAACCTATCAATCAAACAATAGAAGTAGTTCTTCTACATACTTTACAAGAAATGAGCATTTATTAATATTTTATGCATTCCATTTGCATAAAAATGAATGAAAACCCATCTTCTTCCCATTTCTTTTGTTGTAAACAAGAAATTCACACAGAGAAACACTTCAAAGCCCCACCTACCCACAGGTATGAAACAAAGAGACCACAGAAATAACTGTATCTCCTCACTGCTTCCCCAATACAAGAAGACAAAAGCTTTGCACAAAGGAATTTACATTATCACAGAGGACTCAAGTAGGAAAAGACACTGTGGTGGAACAGGATACACAACAGGTGTGTAGGAGCTGGATGGGACACAGGGTACAGCAGGTTGCAGTAGATCTGTCTCTTCTGGCTTTGCTGTCTGTTCTAAGATGAAGTGTATGCATTGCCTCACTCACCTTGCTGTTTCAGTGCGTGTTTTCTTTACATAATATATGTCCACATAATTTTCTGCCTGTTACCACAAGAGCCAAACACTTTCCAGTCATGCTGTGTTTTAACAAAGACACCTCTGTTCACTGCACTAGAAGTTTCTTTATCTACCCCTCAGTAAGAAAGCTGTACTGGAGTTTTGAACATCATTTTTAAGAGGGATGTGCTCTTGTTAGGATGATTAGAAATGAATAACCTCTATCAGGAAAATGTAGACCCCACCTTTCTCATGTCAAGACAAACAGCACTGTCTCTAAAAGTGGAGACATGGCAGGCATCCGTACACATAAGACTAGTAATTTAAACTACAGCCAGTTAACGGTTAATATAATAAAAATATTCCCAACCTAGAGGTACCTGCTAGTGAAAGAATGGAAGGACATGCCAAAAATCCCACTTTTCTATAGTGGAACTGAAATGCCATAAATGCCCTCTGGGCACAGAGGCACTATAGATAGGCTACAGCTTCCAGTTACACTTCAATGGGCCCCTCCATATCGCTTCAGTCTTCAGCTCAGGAGTCTGCTGGTCCAATCCATCAACACATCTCATCCAAGAAAAACATAACATGTTGAAAGTGGCTTCCACTGGTTTAGCTATATTTTGGACCTTCAGTGGCTGTTCACCTAACGACATAACTTGGGTATTGTATTCCACCAATATGCAGAAGAAAGTGAGAAAGAAGGGTATTAAAACCAATTTTAGATTAAAGGGCTACTTTACTGTAAGAGCTGAATTAGTGAAATAGTAGAAAGGACAAAACCTTTTCTTTCCCTAACTACAAACTCTTTAAGGACTATAGTATTTAGCTGCATTTCCACCTGAAAACTCCTTAGGCTACTGACACACCCTAAGATGTGCAGCTCTACTGCACTGTAATGTCTGTGGAAAACAGCTTCTAGGAGATTATTACCTGGAATATACTGGCTCCATAAGGTGTTCTCCAAGCATTAAGAAGATTATCTTTTCCAGTGCTTACAAACCATTTGCCTGCAACAGATTGTTTAGATGTTATTGCTGCATTTTGTTTTCAAGGAATACACCTCCAGAAACAGATGATCATAACAAAGCATTCACACATATCCAAAGAACAGTAACATTTTCATCTGGTTGCAGTATGATGTTCCATCAGTAAACAAGCAGTACATAGAAAAAAGCAGAGTTTTTAAAATAACCTTAATACTTAAATTTAATGCCAAATTTTTAATTATATTCTGTACTTCAATAACTGCATTGCACTTTCATTTGAAGATAACTTTGAATCAGTTTTTCATGAAGGAAAAAACTGATTTAGAATGATTTGCTTACCACAGTGAGCAAACTTGAGTGACAACACACAGCTCTCATGAAGATGCAGCTGATACTTGTCTGGCTTAGTAACATGCAGCACCTCGACATTGCTGTTCTCCATTCCTACTGCCAACCACTCACCAGTTGGACAATAGCCCAGTGAGAAGATCTGTAATTAGCACAGCACATGCTTCCATCAGTAAAGGAATGAACTTGAGATATTCAAAACTGACCCTTGCTACACTGTTAGCACTATGCAAACTCACATTTCTGGTCTACTGCAGTTTTAAAAACATGATAATCCAATTACTAGAATAATCAAGATAAGTTTGTTCATGCAAACACTGCTGAAAAACTATGCTATTAAATGTTATTAAAACTGCAATAGTGAAGTACTGAATCAAACTATAAAAGTTGATGTCCAAGCTTACCTGACAGCGTTTAAAAGTATTTTTGCAAAATATTTTTGAACTTGAATCTACAGAAATGAGAACAGATTGCAGAGAGGAACATTTTAATCTGGCACTTGTTTTATAAAACTGAATCTCCACTACTCCCATGGGAGAGGAACTAATCTGTCAAAGCCATAATCCAGATAGACATCTAGCTGCTACAAGAAAAAAAAACCCGAAAAACAAAAATGAGAGTATGGAATATGAGACTAACTGAAAAATTCTTTGGAATTCTCTTTGAGACTGTTTTTTTTTTGCTTATAAAGGAGAAAAAAAAATTAAAAACATGCTTGTTTTAAAAAAACATGAGAAAATTTTGTTAACATGCCAAAGGTTCTGAGACTGAACCTGTGATGTGAAGTCATGTTGCTGTAGCTGTCTCCCTTCTCTGAGATCCCAGGATCTGACTGTATTGTCCAGACCTCCTGTCCATAATTTGGTACCATCATTAGAAATGTCAATACAGCTCGCTCCATCTGTGTGGCCCTGAAATTGTCTGAAAATATTAAAAGATCAGCACATTCTGAGCAAAAATACAAATACCTTCTTTCAGTCCCTGGGTTGTAACTTAAATTCCAATAGCAATCCCAGATGAATACAAACTCTGGGACAATCATATGAATTTTTTGATGAACTGATGATGCAATCAGGCCAGAGAGCTAATGTGATTTCAAAAAGAACACTTTAGGAGTCAGGTACTCTGGAAATCTTTGCTGCTGGCTGTGTGATACCCACTACTCAACTTAAAATAGCCATTCCCCCCAGAAGACTATAGCATGATCAGCAAAATTACCTTAGTTTAAGAAAAATGTGCACTGTTGTTAAAAAAAAAATAGAGCAGCCTAAATGGTAGCATCAGGTAATAAAAGCTTGACTTACATGCAACACTGATATTACATGTAATAACATATACACAGTGCAGTGCACAGAGAAGCTCTGTATGACCAGCTCCTAACATACTGTCTATCAGTGTTAATCACCAATCATTACTCCTGAAAGCTAAGTCTGCAATGCAGTAATTTACACATATCTTTACCCGAGACATGTTCGCTGGATCTCCGATTAAAGAAATTAGAGTGAGAGCAGCGCATTGCATGGAAACAGAAAAAATAATCTGCTCAAGGAATCTACAGCAGTATGGACATCAGCTGATATTTAGGGAATTATAGTTATGGGCTAATCAAAAGCCTGGAACTATGGAACTCTCAAAACCTATAAATAATTATATAGACTTTTGTCAAGGTATTACCATGGCTATGCTGAACAACAAAATACTGAAAGCATCTATGCATGGAGAAAATAGAATACATATACAAAAGCACATTTACGGCTGTGCTTAAATAATTCTCCACAACCTGATGACCCACTTTGGTCGACCTACCTTACTAAAGTCTGGTTATGCAGATCCCACACTGCAATGTTGCCATCGCTACAGCAAGAGAAGCAGACCTTGGAATCAGGGCTGATAGCTAGGGCATAGCAAGCTGGAGCAGAAGATGTCAGCTCTGCTTTGATGCGAGGAGTTGGAGCTGCCAGGTCCCAAATGGATAACGTGCTGGCTTCCCCACCAACAATCAGGGTGCGGCCGTCAGGGAGCAATCTGCAGGAACGGATGTAGTTGTCTCTGTTCTGTGGAGACAGAAGCCATCAAGAGATTACTCATGAGGAAAGAAAACAGCATTAACATGAGAGCAGAAATCCATAAAAGTATTGTATTCCCTCCTGGTTTTAATGAGCCATTTATACTTATGACAATGATAAAGTGTATTAATGCCAGAAAATTACATGACATTAGGGAAGTACTTCAACTTGATCTACAAAACTCAGTAGTGAGAGATATTTAATCTTAATTAGCATCAAAATGCAAAGACCTGAACCCAGCCCAAAACAATTCAGGATAGCTGAATTTGACAGCTGGTGTAGAAAGTTATATTTTCATACTCTGTTTATTTCAGCACATTAACCTCTCAGCATGGGAGAGTACCAAATTCCCTGCACACTTTCCCCCTTCCCATTCCAGTGAGACTTGCTGCCACCATCTAGGAGATGTCAGAGGAAAATATTTGGGCAATTTTCTTCACTTGTGCAGCAACTTGTGTAGCAATTCATTGTAAGTCTACACGTGCTGCACAGTTCTCATTTTACTGCCTCTGTAACAAACAGCAACATCTTAGCAAGAACTGGTAAATGACAGGAGAAAAGCTGCTAACAATAGTTCATCTTGTTAGCACATTCAAATAATTTGTGAATAACACTCATGGATATTTTTAATTGCCACATTAAGACAGGTCAATGCATTCATACACATACACAAGATACAAAATACGTGACACAATTCCCAAATATTCTCAGAGAATACAGCTGCAAGACAGCAATTTTTAGCATGATCGGGTATCAACAAGCTGTAAGACTGCCAGCAAATGTCGAAGTTTATAAACAGTATTTGCTGTGCTGTTTTTGATCTTTCCTCCTACCACAATTTTAGGATATTAAAAATGTTTTGACTCTTTGCAGGAGAAAAAAACCCACAAGTATGATGAGGAACATACTTCAACCCCAGTTCTAATAGAAACAACAAAATTAAAAACGCAACACCAACCTCTGATACAATGACAGAAATCAAATACCCACTTGCCCTTTATATCTTAGTGATATCACCGCAACCTTAACACAACTCCCCATCTTCTTTTAGTGTTGTAAGCTGCTGTTCACCTACCAGGCAGTCCAGCTGAGAGACAGGGCTCTTGTTGCCAGGGTGGCTGATGTCCCAAACCTTGACACATCCCTTCCCACCAGTGTACACATGCCTCGTGGGGTTGCTGATGGTGACTGCACACACAACTTCCCCGTGGTTCAGGGTGTTGATCTGACGGGCATGGCGAGGGATTCCTGGACCGATGAGGGCATCAGGAGGGAAAGGAACTGGCTGCATCTGACCATCTGCACTTACATGAAATGAGTATGCTCTGAGGGGAAGAAAAATTATGGGGATGATTTAAGGAGTTTTACTTCAAGGCTGTTTAGGAAAACAGAATCAAAGATGTGCTTCCCTTGCAGGCATTCAGGTTGTGCCCTCAGCTCAATTTTTTTTCACAGACATTTCACAGAATATTCTGAGCTGGAAGGGACTCTCAAGGATCATTGAGTCTTAAGTGAATGGCCATATGGGGACTGAACACATGACCTTGGTGTTATTAGCACCATGCTTTACTCAACTGGATTAATATCAGGTATTTTAATCACATAAGGAAAAAGCATTTATTTATCTGTAGCATGGCCCTCCAAGCATAAAGACAGGTGCTCAGCTTTAAATGTGGAAAGTCAAGCACCAATCAAACCAGCTTTTACAACTCACATTATGATGATTTCTGGCATGAGTGAGGCTATATGACACCACTCTTAACTTTGGATGGGAATATCACAGCCTGCAGAGAAGGGAAGGAAGGGTGGGTCAGGGCCTTCTGGAAGACAGAAATAGTTGGCTGGTTGCTGCCAGAGCATGGTGGGTAGCTGCGTGCCAGGGGACATTTGGCTGCTTGCTTTACTGACTCTTATGTGGCAGCTTCAGCTGAACTGCTGCCAATCTGTCCTGAACGTACTGTGGGCCCCAGGCCTCTTGAGCAAAACTGCCCAGCACTGTACCTAAGGGTGCAGTGAAACTTCCACCAACACTGAGGAGTTAAGAGTCCTCAAGGCATGGTTGCTGACAGCTGACATGACAGACCAGCTACAATGCACTGAAATGGAATTTTTTGTTTTGTGCATTGTTTTGGGTTTGGGCTTTATTGTTTTATTGGATCGTCCATAAGCTGCTGCCGCTGCTGCTGCTGCAGCTGCTGCACTCATTTGAGGGGAAATATTGTGTAGACCAGCATAGGCAGCTCCAGGGCTGGTCAGCTCCCCGTTCATACCAGCATGTGGCACGATACCAAATGGAGCAGGATAAGGACACGGTACTGCCATAGGTGTCCTTAAACCTGAAGCTATAAGAAGAGGGGGGGAATTGAGAAGTCACAGAGGCACTTTAGAGCCATCACATGCAACACGAATTTGGAAAACTGCAAAAAATCCCAGAAATAATCCAAGCCAACCAGCCAATCAGCCAAGGAAAGCCACATATACATATGTGTATATGTGCACAGTATTACAGTGCTGAAGAACCAGCTCAGCAGCCAGTATAAGCATCTGTACTGCACTGACTTGTCATTACAGATTTAAAGGGAGTCTGACAAGGGACAGATGGTCACTGTTTCACACCACCAAAATATATGGACACTAACCTATCGGGTCCACACCTGGGGGTTTGCCGGGCACTGGCCTCAGTCCAGGAGTGGAGTTGCTGCCTGGAGTTGGAGCATCAGTCCGTGGAGTTGGGGTATTTGATTTAGACACAGGAGTGGTAGATTTCTCATTCTAATCACCAAGAAGGAAAAAGAAAGGCAGTTTGTAAACAATTTTGTCTTTATCGCTAGTGATTAGTGATATTAGTGATATTTAGCTTCTAGGTTTGGGTTTCTCCGTGGCAATGAAGAGAAGATGCAAAGACACTGAAAAAGACAGAATGGCTTTGAAAATTAACTACAGCCTTCACTGCTTTTTTCATCAGAAGAATCTGTATGATTCAGAATTAGGGAAATGACTGAAAATAATTTCCCTCTGACAACTGGCAGCATATGTGAAATCAGTCAGTGGTCTCACTATGCTCATGGACCTGCTCCCATTATAATTTTCTGTGAGGCATGGACAAGAAGAGTAGAAAAAAAAATCCCCAAACTGACCAACTACTCATACCCAAGTGTGGTGCTAGAAACACAGGATGAAGACAGTGATGAGTATAAAGTCAGGAACTGTGCAGTGCTGCTCTTGTGACACGCTCATTCATCAGACACACCACTGATTCCCAGGCCTGAACCTGTCATTCCATCACCATTCCTGAGCACTATATTCACTTTAGGCTTTCTTTTTATTTATTTTATTTCTTCAAATAATTGCATACCCTGCCCTGTGAAGAACCAAGAGGGGAATTACTGTGCAGCTCAGGTAGGTGATTAACTGTGGCCACAAACAGGAAAGGAAAGAACACCCCTTGCAGGCAGCTCTTTTCTTTTGCATTTTGATTTGCGATGCAAGTCAAGGAAGGCTCTTGTAAATGACAGATTACTTTTTAGATAGAAAATAAAAATTATTGTTGTTGTATATAGCCTGATAATTCAAACAAAGCTAACAACCAAATCACATACAAGCAGGGAACTGAATTTGCTATAAACCACAGCACAGGAAAACAGCTCAAGAAACCCCTGTGTACTTTTATTTATTCTCAGAATAACAGTTCTTCATATGGGAGCAGAGAAAAATGTCTCTCAGAACACCACATCTATCATCTACTCACACCACCAGTGAAAATAACTTCTTCCTATCCCAAAAAAGACTGTGGACTTTCTATCAGACTCCCTTGAAAAGATAAATTAACTAATTCCCAGTTCTTTATTGACAGCTGTGGAAATACAAATTGTGTCCAGACAAAAATCTGGTAAGCATGTATTTCAGCCTATGATTAGGGGTCAGAAGCATTTTGTAGCACTTACAAGGCTAAGTTCTTTGGATTTGGAGGAAGGAGTACTGCTAGAGGATGCAATAGATGCCGGACTAATTGGTGCATCTTTTTTCAGCAGTCGAGTCTTGTCCAAGCCATTTTCCCGTGGAGAGTGTGCTGGGCTCCCACGGGGAGAAGAAGGATCCTAAATATCAGGAATATGGGTTAGCATAAAAACTTCATACCAGCCACTAGTTCTTGTCTTGAGCAGTCCTCTGATGCCTTAAGTTTAGCTTTCATGTTTTCCAGATTCTGTACTGCATTAGTATATGACTCTGAACTTCGTATGTTAGCAAGTTCTCCTCACAGTTTAGTCAGACAAAATGATCCATTTCCAGCCCGAGAGCCAAGTACATCATTACAGCCTCAGACCCAAAAAGTGTCAACAACAGCAATTTGAAGAGAGCAGTCTGGGAGGATGGGACTTCATAACCTGAAGCTGTAATTGTACAACTAACCCCAATATGTAAATGAACCAAAACTTATAGAAGTGTGAAAACTCATGGCCAGTTGTCCATCTTGGGTCCACCTTGGGTGTAACCCTGGCCAGGCTCTTGTACTGCCTAAGACGTATCATTTGAAGGCCTTTTAATAAATACCTACTTCATTCCTTTTACTCTGTCTAACCTCTGTTCTAGGCAGCCTCTCAAGGCATCACCTCATTTGGAATGAAGATCTGTCATAGGAAGTGACATATTCCTCCATTCTTAATTGATTTAGCTGATACAATTGTAAAATTGAGAGGGATAATGGAGGACAATTTGGTTTTTTTAAAAAACTCTTAAAATTTGATGCCATTAAACTATGGATAAAAAATAATGCCAAAAATCTATGGATATTGAAATAGGCAAGTAAATCTCTTTCTTCAAGTGACAGATTAAAAAGATTTGATGCATTTGGCAGACCTGATAAGGTTCACACATGAACACATGGCCAAAGTTAATGAAAAGACAGACACTCTTACAAGCTTTGTAGAAGTACTTACAACTCTGTAGAAGTAAATGCTTCAGATCTGATTTGTATTCTAAAGAAAGAGGATACAACTGGATTCTGTCAGGCATTTCAAGTTCAAATGCCATAATCCCATTCATAAAATCAATATGCACAGAAACCACTGAAGATACCCTCACCACCCTTTCTGTAAGGTCGAAAAAACACCATTGTGTATACCTCATTGGAAACGTCAACTACCAAGTTGTCATCACTCTTTTCACCATCACTGTCCTGCAATGACAAATCACAATGTGTTAAAAAAATTTATTTCATACCCCCGTATCTCTTCAAAACTATGAAAACAAAGGAAATCTGCTCACAAATCTGCAGTGTACCATTCACTTTTACCAAACTTTATGTGGTAATACAATTAAAATCTTTCAGTCATCTACAGGGCTTCTGCTTAGCAGGATGCCACAACTACAGCAGTCTTGCCAGTTCTCATATTGGTGGAGAAGGACATGGGGTGAAAATCTTCATCCAAAGTGGCACTGCACTATAAAGTGGAGTCAAGAGAGACTTCATCAACAAGTCCCAGCTTAAGTAAAGCTCAGCCCTATTGTCAAACAACTTCCAAATGCTTTGCATTTATACTGTTAAAAACAGTATCAATCATATGCACCAAAATGTTTAATCCAGCAGAGACACTAGAGGTAGGAAGCAAAAACCAGTTAAAATCTGACCCTCATTTTAAAATTAGTTATGCAGCAGAAATCAGGTGAAACTACAGAGGAACACTGAAATTCAACAATACAGAATGTAGACAATCTACTCACATAACGAGCTGCTATTTCCTTCTCTTCTGTTTTCTGTTTTTTACTATCTGAAGAATAATCTGTTGAATTTCTGTGCTTTTCTGCTGTTCTGAAACTGGCTGAGGGAGATACAGAAGAACTCTGTAGTCCAAAAAGACAAGAAAGCATCATCAGGCCCTCATTCACAACAGTGGTTCATCTGTCACCACCCCTCAATACATTTTACACTGATAGTATGATCTGGAGCTGTCGTCATAGACAGCATGTTGGGTTTTAACCAGTGACAGCTACCCAGCAAGTGTCTCATATTAAAAACTGCACTATGTATTGCAAGGGACAGAAACAGGGGATCAATTGACAGATCATAGTGGCTATCTGCACTACCAATGGGATGAATTTTATGAATACTGTGCACTGGTCTTGTTTTGGTTTGTTTCCTGTACAAATATGCAGGGTTAAGTCAATAGTCCCAGTAGAGGGGTGTGTGTTTGCACATGTGCGTGTGTGTTTGCCTGTGTAAATCAAAAAGAACAAAGAGGCTTGAGGCAAGTCACACTTGAAAGAGGCAAAGAGGTTCAAAAGGCAAGCAAACATTTGAATGAAGATTTCTACCAAAGAAAGAAGCAAGCTTCTGAACAGTTTTGGAGTAGGCAAGAACAGGAGAAAACACCTTGACTCATTTTATTTTGCTGCCTTTTACAATTACAGGCTATGCCTGCAGCAGACAGAAACAAAACACAGACTGGTTCAGTGATTCTCTTGCTATTCTACAGTGCTCACCTAGTAATGATTGCTAAAGAGCACACGTGGACAGGAGAGAAAGGAAGATAATGTGTACTTTAAGCACTATCATCCAACAGCTCCACTCTACTCCGTTAAACAAGGCAGGCAACATTTATCAAATTCTACCACATTTCCAAGGCTTTGTAGAGTCTGTATCTTTGTGTGCAAAAAAAGGAAGCAATGAAAGATGCAATGTTCCCACTGGGACTGATTTTAGTAGCAGCAGCAGTTTTGGCCCTAGTTCAAGAAAGCATTTAAGCATGCACTAAACTTTATCTCACTCTGAAGTCAGTGGTTGAATGTACATAAGTAAGGATGTGTTCAGGCTTTTTGCAGAATTGGAAATGACAGCAATGGAGATGAAAATAATTGTCAGTTGAAATCCTGCTGGCTGTTTCTGTCTCTGTCCTCTGTTTTTACTGGGGTGGTGAGGAACAACCAAAGAAGTCCTGACTGATGGATTTTAGATCCTCCCATTCATCCAGAAACAGGTGTTTGGGGTTTTTTCCTCCATGCATGATGGACAGCTGTTTTTCCACATAAAACTCTACCACACAGCAATTTGGTTTTGGGGTTTTCAGTGCAGCTATTAACACGAATACAAACCAAGAAATTAGCATTTACATTGAGTAACTTCTGTTCCATCACTATTACAGAATTTCTTCTTTTCCTTATTATATCACAAGCTTCTGGTAAGGATTAGGAAAACTTAACCACAGAAATTAAGCTGTGGTTATTGTCCAAGTCACATAAGGGAATGTAACCACCTACTGGGACACAGGTCCTCCTCTCCATTTTCCTGAAATTTACAGTTCTTGAGAACAGCAGCTCAGGTTAACGAGTGGTAGAATTTGCAAAAATCTTCATATTTTGGATTGGTAATTGTTAATTACGATCTAAGAACACTGAGTGGAAATAAAAATTTCAGAACAAAGCTAGTTTTGAAGGCACAGCCAGTGCCTTTCCCATACTGTGCAAATATATCTTAAAATACTAATTTAGTTTTAAAGCAGATCATCAATCAATGATTATAGCCAATAATGCAAACTAACAAAGTTATTTTTTGCTCTGAAGCAACAACACATGTTAAGACATTTGTAGACAGCAGTGCCAGGGTACAGAAACCCTTAAAATAAAGGCCAAGTAGAAACTCAACATTAAATGAACTGATGACTTGAAACATGTATTTGTTTCTGCAACGATATAGCATAATCTTCTGCAAAAGATTTTTACACTAAGCTCCTATTACATTTATATTCATTTAGAATTTGGAAGGCAGTAGCTTGTAATGTGAATTCAATTCATTATTTCTCAACTTCACCCTACAGAAAGCAATTTGCTTTAAAACGAAGAAAAATAATCACCAATAAACCACAAATTAAAGTGGTGTCTAAAGAATTAAACTACTGCACTTATTTAAATAGAAATATTTATTTTCATAAATCTGAAACCATACAGTTCCATTTTTCACAATCTGGTTAGCTATGTGCTATAGATACCATTTTAATCTTTGATTTCACTACTTAATAAAGTAATAAATTGAAGGTCCCTACTAGAAAGACAAAGTAGCTAATTATCACTAGCACATTAAAGGATGAGCACCACACTGGGCACTGGGGCAATGCACACTGCTTAATGGTTAAATTGCTTGATGGATCTGACCTTATACCAATATGAAAGGATCCGCCTGCAGTATTCTTACCTGACATTAGCAGTAAAAACAGAGACAACTCACCTACTGACAGCAGGCAGAACCTCCGTTACCAATCTGAAATTAGGCCAGTGTACTAGGAGTGACATTATTTTACCTCACAAGTCAATTACTACAGACCAAATCTAAACGCTCCCACTTTTAAACAGTCACACCCCTTTCCTTGCACCAACGCCCCTGCAGAACTGCCTTCTTTTCCCTTCAACACGAAATGCACCTGCCACACTAAGAGGCAAGTGAGACTTCATGGGATGGATCTCTTATGCTAAGTAATAAAGATATGTCACAAACATGGACAACGAGCTATAGTCTGGATCTTCCTATGGACCTAATGCTTACTATGTTCACTGTGTGAGAGTATTAATCATACTGAGTTCCCTCTATTGTTTGTAACAGCTTTTCAGTCTATAAGCACTGATAAGGACCTACCCTCATTGAGAAATAGTGGGATGTAACAAGGTCCTCATGGTTTCCACTGACATCAGATTCCTGCAAACAATCCTGTACTCACCCACACCTTGGCTTCCGAGTGTGCCAGCCCACAAACTCCAGGAGAGGTCCTTACATTTTCAGATGGTAAAAAAAACCCCATCAAAATACATTGTTCAGCTGATTGATAGACTCTGCCCTGTTCCATGATTAAAACATCAGTTCTGTCCTGATGGCTGCCTTTAAGAAGCTGGAATAGATAGCTACTTAGAGAAATTAAGTGATTCAGCACTATGACTTGGAAGGCTGTAACTTAATGGGCCAGAGTCCTTGTTTTAGTAACTATTAAAATTTATAGCGAAATGATGTCTTTTTACACTGTTGTTTTCTTCAATAAAATGCATTAATCTACTAGAAGAGTAGCATTTTCCTATTAAACAATGCTGAGTTTGCTCACATGTAATAATTACATCAGACACAGGAAAAAATACTCTTTGGTGAAAGTAGGTTACACTTAGTTTGTGTTTGAGAAAAACATACCAGTTTTTCATTTTCTGCTTTGGTAGAACATTTTTATTAATGGAAAATACATCACAAAATGGTGACAAAAAACCAATGAACATACACATTTATAGAAAGGCTGAGCACATCACCATGTTCGCATAACTCACTTAAGAAGCAGAACAGTGTCTTTCTAGTACTGGACCCACAGTATTTTTTGCACTAGGCTATAGAGCATAGCATGCCATGATTCAGTCTCTGTTTTGGGCAGTGCTGAGCACAGTGCTAACTGAAACGGTCTCCCACTAGAAGGACCATGCTGTTTTCTCTCCAACACCATCAGGACACTGCTCCTGCTGAAGTATCAGTGCCACACAGGTGCAAATTAAACCGGTATCCAGAGAGCCACACAAGCCTCTTATGCAGGCATAAAATTCTTACCAGCATATTCACCGTCTGTTTGGGATAATTAATAGTTCAAATTGCTAGGGGGGGCGGGAAAAATCACTGTTTTACCCCCAATTTTTACTGGAATTTAGCTGCATCAACATACGTAGCTCACACTGTAATGTGGCAGAAATCAGTGTGGAAATCATAAATCAAATTGTACAGCCATCCAGCTGCAAGCCCCAACTCCCCATATGCTGACTTCCCCAGAAAAGACCTGGCCTGAGCACACTAAGTGATAATTAAATGAAATCAGTGTTAAAAGTAATGACTAGAGATGACAAGATGAAAAGCCTTCCTACATGTTAAAGCTGGTAACTCTTTAAAGCATTCACAAGTATGACCATTCCCTAGTGCACCCTTACTACTATGCCAAAATGATGTATTTGGAGTGGAATAATTAAAACAATAATTCTCAACAAAGTGGGAATTACAAGATAATTTACCATACTGAAGTATTAAGCAAACTGCAGTAAAAGCCAAGGATGCTCAACGCTAAGGTCAATTACAGTATAATTATCTGAATTACATTATTGCTGTTATAAAGACTGTTGAAAGTATAAAAGAAACTATAAAAATGGATACAATATGTATCACAGTGAAACGACCAGGTAGTAATGCTGCTTTGTGCTGGCCGATGCCAATGTTATAGATGGAAGTACCAGCACTGGAACTTGGACTTAGACACTGCCATAGGTTTGGCCTTGGAGCACTAAGCTGTCTAATACTGTAAGCTTACATCAGAGGGGAAAAAAAAAAAAAAGGAAAAAGAAACTAAGAAATTAGGGTTAAGACTTCTGACACCCTAAAGGTGAGATGTCAGGGCACAAGAAAAAGAGGCAGTGCAAATACAGCCCAGAGACCATGTGCTCAGTAAGGACACTGCAGCCAAGGGTTCCTACAAAACAAGCCTAAGGGCTCTAAGGTAACACCTACCTGTTTAAAAAACAAATGCATTTATAAACATCTATATGCACAGAAGTACTACTACATACTTTCTGGAAGTATGTAGTAGTGCTACATACTAGCACTAGTAGTGCTAGTATGTAGCAGTACTACATATTTCCAAACTCGGGAAGATGGTGTGAAATGCTATGGGTTGATCTACAAATACCATAATGGAGCACTTGCACAGCAATTCTGCCTCCTGAAGTCAGCCACACTTACACAGCCTTTTTGTTGCTGGCATTGTTATTATTATTACTATTATTAAATTACTATTATTGTTATTACTACATCCCAGTATCTGCATGGATGGACATGATTTTGT